AATTGATAATTAGTAGGGATAATTCCAAGGAGGACATTAATCCAAAGAGGCCTTAATGTAGGTAACAGAGCAATATAATAATGAGTACAGACGATCCTTAAAAATTCATTCGGTTATAATTTATTTCATGAATATGAAAATATTCATCTCTTCAGACCGAAGTCATTTTATTAAACGGAGTCAATTTATACAGACGGAAAAGGGAGAGGAAAAATGAAAAAAGAAAAGGAAAAAATTCTAATATTAAAAGAGGAAGAAAAAACATAAAAATTTCAATATAAGGTTTTTTTAAAAGATTTTTTAGGTGGAGAGAGAAAGATAGAGATAGGAGGAAGAGAATACAATATATATATATATATATATATATATATATATATATATATATATATATATATATTTGTGTGTGTGTGTGTATGTATACCCTTGGACCTTTCTACACTTTTATGGTGTTACTAACGAATTCAAATATACATGAAAACAAAATGCTCAGCGGTTTGTACGTGTAAAATATAATTAATTCTTACGGAAATAATAATTAGAACTAAAGCAAAGCAGTTGTCTTTTTCAGATTGTAACAGGTTTTTCAAGAAAATTGCATGTATTTGGCTTCAGCCATCTTCCTATAAACTCTGACCAGTTTCCCTTTCTGTGCTGAAGAAAAACATCGGCAAAGCATGATGTGGTCACGGAGGGGACGGCGTGCTCAGTCTTAGGTTTCCACCAAATCCAGCGTTTTGCATTTGGGTCTCATCTGGCCAGAACACCTTCCACCTGTTTGATGGGACTCTCACATGACTTGTGGCAAACTGCAACTGGGTCTTATGGCTTTCTTTTAACAAGGCTTTCTTCTTGTCCCTCTTCTGTAATGTCAGATTGTTGTCCTGTAGGCAGATTCTCCGGCTGTGGTTTTTGTAGCTCCTCCAATGTTACCATCGTCATCTTAGTTGTTTCTACGATTAAAGCTCTCCTTGCTTGACCTCTCAGCCTAGATGGGCAGTCATGGTCCTTGGTACTCTTTTCATTTTCGGATGATAGGTTTAATAGTGTTCCGTAAGATATTCAAAATCTGGAATATATTGCATGATCCTGCTTTATACTTCTTCAGAACTCTATACCTGACCTTTTTGGTAAAATCCTTCATATTCATGATGCTGTCTATTTGGTAATGTTCTTTGAAAAACATCTGAGGCCTTCATAGAACAGGTGTATTTAATTGAAGAGTGTAGAACCAAGGACCGTAAAACTTTTCCTTACTAATTACTAATTATATGACTTCTGAGCTGGATTTTAATTAGGTTTTGAAAGTGGGGTTAATACAGATACACTCAACAATTTCTAGATTTTAATTTGAAAATAATTTTGGGAACGATTTAAAATTTTCCTCCACTTCAAAATGATGCACAATTTTAGGTTGATACATTATCTTAAACCCCAATAAAAATATATTTATATTTGTGGTTGTCATGTGACAAAATATGGACAAGTTCAAGGGGGTGAATGCGTATGCATGTCACTCTATATTTACTCCCAAAATGCATTTACTCTTTGTAAATGTCATCAATTATCATTACTCGAAAGTTGATTAAATATTCTAAAATATAACGAATGCTTATTAGACAAAACTTCAACTAACGAGTGTCTTGTGTGATAATTCTATTCAATTGAAAAAATTATATACATAAAATTGTTTTATCAATTTATCAATTTTGAACTTTCTCGAATTTTCGCAATAATCGTGATATTAACTAACTTTTGCTTGTATCTATCTATCTATCTATCTATCTTTATATATATATATATATATATATATATATAATATATATATATATATATATATATATATATATATATATATATATAGTCGTAGTAATCCGTTGATATAATCCAGGAGAGTCCTATTAACGCAATATAGAATTTGAAATGTGTTAAAATTGACCACCATAATACAATTCCAGTAACGGCGCCTTCTTCTCCTTATACCTCCCAATAAGTCCCCTATAACATACTCGCTTTCTCCAAATAAACAGTATCCCACTACAAACTAATACTGTTTGAATATCCGGCGAATTTTAAAATTAAAAATTGTAGGTGAAAAATGGTCATTAACTAAATGTATCTTAATTCCAATTGTAAAGTATATATATATATATATATATATATATATATATATATATATATATATATATATAGAGAGAGAGAGAGAGAGAGAGGGAGAGAGAGAAAGAGAGAGAGAGAGTCTATGTGTGTCTTTCTGTATGAGTGTGTATACATGTATATTTGAGAGGAATATACAAATTTTCTGAGATTAATCTTGAGAGAGGAAAGGAGCTATTTCATCTGTTTGGTGTTTTCTGATCCATTTTGGTAGCTTTTCAAACTGTAAAGAAGTATTTTTTTACATGACTGTACATTTTAACTTAACGTTTTTTGGTTGTGACCTATACCCCTCAAGAACTTACAATAATTCTCTCAATCTTGACACAATCATCCACTTTAGTGA